CCTCCTTTGCTAAATTTCTTTTTCAGGGGGATGCATTGCTCCTGTGCATGGAAGAAGTGTTGTTTAAAGAGCGACCAGCACTCATGGACCCCCCTGCCTTCGAGAGCCCTGGCCCACGGGATTCCTCCCAGTAGCTCCTTGAAGAGGGCAAAGTCAGCCCTCCTGAGGAGGGCTCGACATGGATACATAGAAATATTTCTAGTTTGTCAGAATAAATCCTACTATTCATCATCAGCATAGTTATAGCCTATATCAATCATCTGCACTTCAGTCACCTTGTTCATTCTCACACTCTGCTGATTCAGCGTTAAATTTTACATCACTGCTAGGAGTCTTTCAAAAAGGTCACAAAAGTGCATTCAATGTAAGGACAGTGGTTCTGTCTAATGGACCCTCAGTTACTGCTCCCTCTCCAGTTAACCACGTTCAGTCATACTAACTACATTCCACAAAAATTTGTACCCTCATCCTTTGAATTTACACTGGAAATGACCATCAGACTAGTATGGAAGAAAATACACTGAAAAACATATCAGCAGCACCAAGTTTTCTCAGTGCTTATTTTCCTAGACCCTTATTTCATGTCTCCTATACTTTGTGCTCCAAATTTGGGGCTGGATAGTTCTGAGGGTCTGGTCTGCTATGTGGGAGTGAAGGAGTTACTGAAAAGGTGGGACAACCAAGGGAGCACATTTGACACAATGCAAAACGGATGTTTTTCCAGCTGCAGCCTAACACAGAACCTACATGACTGGTTCTGTTCCTCATTCAAACATTGCCAAGACATATACTAAACACCAGTTCTGAAGTGTGGCATATTTAGTCCTTTCCATCTATACTGCCTGTCTAGCAGCTATAGGCAATTAAGTCTTGAACTAGTTCTGGTCTTGATCACTTTCTAGAAAAGCTATAGTAAGAGTGAACAGAAAAATAATTTATCCATATCTATGAGCTCACTCCTAATAGCCAACTGAATTTTAACATTGTAACAAGCAATACAGTGTATTTCATTAAGTACTGTTACAAGTAACTATGTGCGTTTATGGATCCACACTGTTGAAAAACTAAGATTCTGGAATTAATTTAACCGTACAACCCAGAGCTTAGCCCAATCTGCTATTATACTAGAGCAAAAGACCATTGTGCTTGGTTCTTATTCTGTTTGAAACCTTTGAAACTGCATGTCCTCAACCCTCACCATAAGCAACATTAGAAATATTCCTAAAATGGCAGTGTACTAGGGCAAGTGGTAAAAATCCTATTAATGTCTTTCCTACAGGAAATCAGATATAAATGTTGCCTGAAAACATCTCTAACATAACTAAATTCATTGTGCATCCATATATTCATGTAGAGCTACCTGTAAAGCTGCCTTCTATGCTGCTCTTGTATTCTCTTAATACGTGTATATCCGGAACTATTTTTTAGTATTTGTGAAGTGGGATATTATTCACATCTTGCTGTTGGTAGTAAAACCTCCTAAAGAAGAGCTTCTTACTTCTGCTTGGTAGGTGCTAAGGTTTCCAGCCATCCTGACTACCACGAAGCAGGAGCTTCACAAGCTGGCACTGTCCCTCCCCAGCAGTAGCATCCTGCCCCTCTTTGCTGAAAGCTGTAAACACGGTTGGCTGCAGAGCTTTTGAAATTTTGTGATTCAAGAGTTGTAGCACTTAAAAAATTAGTATCAGTCCTATCATGTTTCATATATCAAATTCTAATCCAGATTAGATGTCACAAAAAACGATGATGTAATGCTGTTGTTTTACGTGGACTAGCTTATGTATGAACACCTCAAACCTCCTTCCCCAATTTTCAGCCCTAGGTAGTCGTATGGGAGATTCACAGGAGCTCAGCTCAGCCCGGCACTGGCTCCAAAAGGGGAAGACGCTGTAAAGTTTAGCCCAGGGTTCACCTTATGTACATTTTTATTAAAAACAAAGCAGGTAGTCAACATTTTGAAACAAGTTATGTATTTGCATCCAAGTATTTCAGTAAGCGTGGCAGGGTTTGATGCAGCTCAGCAGCAGGAAGGCAAAGGGATCACGGAGATGACTCATTGCTGCCCTTTCACGCTCTCCTGAGGGGGGAAGCGGCAGCTTGGCCAGAAAGACGCTTTTGTCGCTTACATTCACCTGGAACCCGTTCATTGGGTCTGAATCCAGAAGCCTGGCTACACACCCACAATTGGGAGGGAAAAGAAAAAAAAGAAAAAAAGAAAAAGCTACACATGTTTAGGGTATTTGACCATCTCCAATATCACAGCAAGGGGGGAAAGAATGATGATTTTTCCTCGGAAAAAAACATAATGGTCAGCACAGGACATGGCACAGTCTTGTACTGTCAGTCAAAGGCCAGCATTCAGGAGTAAAACAGTTCAGTAACAGGCTCTGGGACCTGGCTTTTCAAGAGAGTAACAGAAATCTTCAGATTCATGAGGACAATAATCCTGAACTAGACCAGGGGATTCTAATATCCCATAAAGGTAGCAGCAGTTGGGAACCCTCTACTTGTAAACTGGAGACAACTGTAATTGTGGTGTATTCCATCGTGTATTTCCAAAGCTAAAGTTTTATGTTGTAACACCACATTGATTATTCACTATTCCACCTCTTCTGGTGAACTGCTGCAGCAATACTCTTGTCACCTGTTGATTTTTTCCCTTTCTGATGGAAAGGCAGCTGTGCCATCCTCCTCTACAGGACAGATACTGTTCCAAAAGCCATCACACAGTGTGTATCTTACAGTACGTTCATTCCAAACGGCATTATAATTAGCACTTCATATAACCGGATGAGCGTAAAAGGACTATAAAATGTTTAAACTAAAATAAAACCTTTCAAGTTTGACATTGGGATAGAACATGAAGAATCAATGATTTTTTTAAAATAAAGCTTTGTAAAAATAGATTCTTACTCAAGATTTATGAATGGGCTGAAAAAAGACAGTATGGTTACTAATCGAAAGTTTCCTATCATCATGATCTCCATATAATAGTGTAACAGCCTGCCTACACATGACTGAAGAGAAAGAAAGATTTATACCAGCTTGATTTTAAGTATGTTCTTATGTTTATTATATTTTGCTACTCCACTCTCCTAAAATGGTGGCTTCAGGAAAAGCTGCTTTGGCAGGCGATTGCAAAGATTCCTGTGGAGAGGAAGTGAAAAGACTGGGCATACAAACAAGGGCTGCTGCCATGTTCAAAGCACTGGGGAGAGTTCATAGAGCAAAATGCAGTCCTAAGTAAATGGGTTTCAGGCAATTTCAGTGTTAAGATAACATCATTAAGAGTAGAACAGATTGTGCTCAGACCCTGCTGTTTATAATTAACACATTGCTTCCAAATACTCCAGGGTCCCTGGTAAATAGTCCTCTGCTCAGATCCACCCAGACCAATCAGAGTATATTCATCAGGTTCCATGCTGGGCCAGCACCTGTTTGGACAAATCCAAAAGAGCCAAAATACTCTTCTTTCTGGCCAGCTAAGTAGAGAGATGAACACAGCTTGTCTTAGTCATTGTCACAGTGTCCATATGGCTGTGAAGCTTGTTTTCACAAGAAATCGTACAAGTACTTTATTATGTCGAAGTTCACGGTCCTACAAACAAAATCACAGTATATTAGAGCAATCATCTTAACAGTACTAAGACTGTAACCTGTTTGGAGACAGCACACATTGGACATTCTGCACAACCAAAATCAAGCAACATCCCCATAATAAATGCAACCAAGGATGAATGAATTTTTAACTTCTAGTGTTATTTACAGCACCTGTTTTCTGACTATTTAAACTTTGTAAGATTCTAAAACAGAAATACAGCAGCTTTCTAGTAAAAGCAGGAAGATTCTTATTTCAATCATTAAGGAGTAAAAATGTATCAAAGTTACTAAGATTATATTTAAACATGATACTCTAACTGGTGATGCAAAGCAGAAATCTTTTATGCTATTGAATGTTTTGTTCATCTTCTAAGCCACCTGTTTTAGCATGTACTACGTAACTCCTTCTTCTGTACTCATTTGCAGTCTGCGTTCTTTCAGTCTTAACACTAGTTGACCCATGTTCATAGCTAAATTTGAAAAATCCAAGAACGCTGCTCAATGGGATAGAAGATTTTAATGTATACTTTTGTAGTTTAATGGCAGGCAGAATGAAACAGCAGCAGAATAAAACATGTAATTATTTTTTTGTCTCTAAACTCGCTCTGCTATACAATCTAATACTCAGACTTTGGGGTTTACTGTTTGAACAAACAGCGCAAATTACGGCACATAATGACAAGTATAAAATTAAAAGTTTTTTTTAAGAAGTATTGAATGATGCAAAAATAACCGCTCACAATGCTAAGTGAAATTAATTGGCTGAATGTCGTACTTGTTAGACTACAATCGTTTAATAGTCTCTGTTCACGCATCATCCTGTAACCTACTTTTTGAAAAGTTTCTATAAAACTTCATACTGGGCAGAGAAAAAGTTCAGAAATCCCCAAGATACATAACAAGAAATACTATGTTTGAGTCTACTTAACAATCCAGTGACAAAATTAAAGAAATTAACTGCCACGGTTAGACTCACATGACATTGTGTCACTCAAGAAAAGTGCTTCAGTTAGAAGGCTTTCCACAGAAACAAAATTACACACTCTAAGAAATGCTGACTTTATCAACTAAATGAAACACAACTGTCCTGCCATAACAACTGGGTTCTTTAGGGACTATATGAAAAAATCCATTACATTCAATAAACACTAAGAGATCCTTACTTCAGCTATGGAAAATTTATGAACTTAGGTCTGAAATTCCTAAAACAGAAATTAAAAATTGCTAGCAAAGAAACATTTAACCTCACCTTCAGCCAAACATGTAAATACTACATGGTAAAAAGCGTGGGAATGTCTCTGTAAAGACTGAATACATGCAACCGACTAGAGCCAGATATGAGGTTCTGTGATACTAAGGGGAGACTGCGTGGCCAGTAGTTACCACACTAAAAGCCACCAAGAAGAGACATTTACATTTCTACTCTTCAAAAAATAGATGGCTTTTGTTTTTGTTTGTTTTTAAATGCAAAAAAAATACAGGAAATTGAAATGACAATCCAAACAGCTTGAATAGGGTTAGGGAGGGAGACAGCATTGTTTTCTGACCTGCTCTTTGCACTCTTCAGCCTTCCAATTAGGAAATATGCTAAGTAGCAAGGCTGAGATGGTTACATGGCTGAGGTACCTGAAGATTTTAGTACTAAAATAAATTTGTTAGTTACTACTACAGTAACAGAGAAAAAAGAATTAGAAGATGGGCTGTTTACTTGATGTGTATTTTAGTTGAAATGGCAAAGTAGTTCCTTCTCTGCAACAAATATAACCTGTCCCATGAGTTGTTAAAAACTACAGGCAGCTGCAAGACTATAGCACAGCTAGAAAATGAAATTTCTGAACGCACAGAAGACTGTGCCTTTGCCCTGCAGTTAGCCCCATCAAGACAAGGGGGAAGCCTATTTATCATGGGTTCTTGAAACCTTGTAACTTTATGGATCGTCCTCCTTAAAGACTTAACAAAGACTGTGGAATGGAAAGGATACTTAATAAAAGAAGTGTAACAAAGGAACAAAGCAAGGAAAAAAAAGCGGGGGAACAGGAGAAAAGTAGAACAGGTCAACTTTAAAATCTGCTGGGTCATTTAAATGGCCTTATCTATGCAGCATATAAACACTTCCAAACTACTTGGGGGGGCGGGAGAAGGAAGAATTTCTTTCTTCCTCATAACATGCAGGAAAAGACAGTCAGGATATATATATACACACACACATGCACATCTGACCTAAAGGAAAGCAAGCCAAAGCACTTTACAGGGCACTGAGGTTTGAAGCGATAGTGTCTCCAACAACTACTATCTCCAGCAAGCCCATGAGCTGCATAGCGCAAGGTCCTGTTTTCCAGCCACCTCTGCCTTCCAGCAACTTTAATGGAGTCAATAAAACTTCCAAGGATGTTAAAGTTGCAAGGAGTGGGACATAATTTTAAGTATCTTCATTCAAGGACCCTTATAGTCGGTACAGAGTTTATGAACTGGTCTCTGCATTCACTGTAGGAGTTTAAGCAGAGACAAGAACTTGGGGATGTCTGTATACAGTGTGATCCATGTTGCTGAGCAGATGGTCCGCTGCACTTGGTACCAGTTGGAGCTTTTTCAGGGCATTATTCACAAGTGGCTTTATTGCTAGGAATAGCAAATTGACACAGCAAAGCTGTGGAGATCCTGGCAGATAAGTTTCATTCTACAACCTGTCCAACTGCAAATGGAAATTAGTGTGTCTGTGGGGTTTACTGACAAGGCTATTGGACATGTAATAGCTCAGGAGAGCAACATGTGCACTGGGGTTACGAGATACAGCCTACACAGGTTCCTCTGAAGTCCCATATTACAGAGAAGAGTTGGCCTTGAGAACGCTTCTCCTTGCCACATATCATTTCTGGGCTCTGTTCTGGCTATGGACTCTTCATCCAAACCTGCTAACAAGCTGGCTGCAGCAACAGGTGTGAGATAATGCTGTTGGCATTTCCTAAGAATGAGACATAGGCCTGATTGTTGCCTATCTATTGCATGCATTTCTGTCTGCAATTTATCATCATCTCTCCCGACGAACCTGGAACTGTTCTGACGCCAAAACTGAAGGCTCTCAATGAACAGAGCCATTGAGGTACCTACATTCATTTATTGAATTAGTCTGTAGGAACTACAGCTCACATAAGATAGGTTATAAGAATTCTTCCATATAATCTATGCAGTTTTTATGTCATATGTACGTTAAACACTATTAAGAACTAAATACAGTTTTGGATTAAAATACGATAATGGGCTTTTTGGTAACGAAATGGACTGACATTTTAGAGGCAGTATTTTCACATGAAGTGCCTGACCTTTATTAAGCACAAAGACAGTATATGTTACTGTAACACATACTGCCACCGTAACAAATTTTTTTCAAAACAGGATTGGACTACACTTAACCTCAACACTTTTCATAAATAAGACTCAGCCACTCATTCTTACAAAACATCCATAGATTTGTATTCCAGTCTGCAGAGAGCTATACACTGAGCAAATACTGGCTTTGAAGTCTCTTTCAAGTTAGCACATAAAACTACAAACGATCACTAATAGGCTCACCGGGCAATAGCTCTGATGAAGTCCAGAGATACAGTACATTTATATCGTGGTCCATCAAGCTGGTCATTATGGCCAACCATGGATAACAGCTGGAGAGTCACAAGAGAGGTGATCTACAAGCAAGAGACATTGGTAATGTTAGTCATTTTTGCTACCATTTGGCATCATTCCCATATTTCTCTGGAAAGTCACTCATACGTGCTCACTGATTTTCACATCGTTCTGCAGCTAGCAAACCCAGGAACGTATATATATTTTCACCATTAGATTTTCAGCACAGGCAGAGAGACACAGGCAAAACGCTTCATCTTTCATGTCAAGAGTTATCCTGGAGTTATGATCAGAGAGAGAAAGGCAATGCGGGGAACAGGAATAATAGGCATGAGCTGAACATTTTCCAAATCTCTGCCTGACAACCAGGAGAGACTTTGATTCTCTTTCCTTTATACCCAAAGACCTCCTCTTGAACTTCCACACTCAAAGCTGGATATTCCCGTGCGAGCTCATACCACATTTTGAACAGATGGATGTATCTCTCTACTCCAGATAAAAAAGAATTTGAAGGTTGGAAAGGAAAGGCTGGAAGATTGCGTGGTTAAAAAGAGCAGGGCCTGGAAGGAGAGAAATTTGCCTATAAACACACATACAGTGTCTTGATAGAGCCATTGATTATTCTAACAAAATAGCAATGTACCAGAGTATTTTTCACTATATTTGTTCTTCCAAATGATGACTGCAGTGCCACTAAAGTGCAGTTGTGGGATGTCACCACTGAACGCAACCTGTCTGTTCTGCCCTAGTTAGGAAAAAATGCTGTGGTGATGCCACTGTCTCCTTGCCTCCTCCCAGCTCCCAGGGGAAAGAAAGAGGCAAAAGCAGAAAACAAGAAAAATTTTCCCTGGCCTTTGCTATAGATGCCACTGAAAATTCAAGGCAACAAGGTTACATTCTTTGAAGAACTGGTATCTGACCACAGTTCTACTTTTTAAAAAAAAAAACAGGCAAGATAATAGCATAGTAAGGCATTTCTGAAGAATAAATATATCAGGAAAGAGAGCGTCAGTTCAAATCTTCAAGGAAGCACACTGCTATAAAAAGCAGCAGCAAGTTCTTACCAGTATCAATAAAAAAAAAAAAATATCCTAACTCAGTAATAACCCCACTATTTCACTGAAAGTGAACTTGGTCTTCAAATTTGTGCCAGTGCTTGAAAGAGGTAGGAATAATTATTACACTTCTCCCTTAAGTGGACATAATATAAAAAAATGACACTTACCAGTGGAGTATAGAAAAAAATTACGGTCACCAGGAATGAGGCAATTCTTATAACAGCCTGTGTTTAACTTTCTTTTATATGGCATTAGACAACAACAGTTTGGGTGCGGTCACTCTGCAAAGTCTTTGGAGTTTGGCTAAGGAACACTGGCCTACCCATATTCACAACAACAAACTCCGTTTACTTAATTCAGGTCTATAAATTACATTAAAGAATAGCACGATTCACAAATTGTTAGCATTGACACCACTTAAGAAAACTGAACTCAGCATACGGTCAATGGCTTAAAATCCCATTCATGAATCACTTTGAACATATCACTGAATTGGGACCAACCTCAAACTTGTTAGGTATCTATTTTCTTAAAATACTCATGAATTTTTTGACATCCTTCATTCAACAAAGTTCCTATTCAGTCGGCAAAGAAGCATTATGGAGTAATCTGCTGCAACAATGCACTCCGGTGCACCATTGCCAGCAAATCACCTGCAATACATACTTGCAGCTGCCCTCACATTCAGAAATTACCAACGAAAGAATGGCAGGAGGCTCCTAAAAGCTCCCAATGAGCACAGCAAAAGCCTGGACAGTTTGGAGTTGGACCCATCTCAGATTTATGTGGGATGTAAAAGTGACCTTGCTGCTGCATTACAAATGCTCCAGCAATATTTTAACAACAAATTGTAACCATTTTCTTTTCCAACCATCACCAAATGCTATGTGTGTAACACAAGGTCAGCAACGTAAAACTCCTTACTAAAGGCTGACTCAATAAATCTGAAATAGTATCAGACTAGATTCTAAGTTTCATTAATGTTTTTGACTCGAGACATTAACTCTAAAGACTCAATATACAGTATTACAAGACAAATGAAGCTATTGATCATCAGAGTAGCACAAACTTACTTAGCCAACTGCAATCCTTTACTCACTTCTTTCACAAATCCTCTGTTTATTTAACTTAATAAAAATGTCATCACAGGAAGAGAGTGCTGAAACAGTGAGTCCTGATCCCGAGATTGCTTAAAAAGTCAGAAGTAGAGAGAACTGCCATTTTCAATTCCTGCAAGTAAGAAACAGTTTTATCTCCAAAGAGGCTCAGGAGAGACAAAGAACATGTATCTAAGAGGAATAAATAGCGACCAGCTCCCCCCCGCCTCCCCGAGAGCCAAATGTTAGAAGCTAAAATATCTAAGCGAGTCTCTGGAGCAGAATTCAAGACCTAGTTACAGATGCCTAGCCTGTACATGGAGAAAGGCAGAGATCTCCAAAGGACAAATCCAAAAGCCTGCACGCTGAGGAGGCAGCAGCCTGGAGTTGTTTGCACAGCTTTCTCAAGGGGTTCAGGGAGAATCAAAAACAGCAAGAGAGTTCTGTCACCCCAAAGCAACGACTTCTTCATTTTTTTCTGCTTCATATAATATCACAGGATTCTCCCACTGATAAGTCAGCCACAGAATTGGGCAACACGCGTACTTTTTGCAATAAATTGCTTTGTCAGAAGAAAAGATTCAATTTTGGCAGATGTGGAATTATTAAGTTCCTCAAATATTTTGTCCTGAACCTAATTTTCTAGACCCGATTCATAAAAAGATGATTTCTTCACCTAATGGCTAAGAAGTCTTCTAGGACACAGAAGGTTCGATGCCCTCCTGACACAAGAGGTTTGAGCACCTCTTCGCTGAATGTCTAACAGCTAGCTGGGGTGAGGAAAGCAGAGGAAGGAAGAAAAAGTTGTACAAAATCTGCTTTTGGAGCTGAGCTAGTTTGCATTAAATTGCATTCATATAAACAGTCTCCCTCTCTCTGTCTACTTCAGGCACTCACCCGGTACAGCAGGATACAGTGGAAGGAGCTGGGTTTAAGACAGTGTACTTGTAGCAAAATTCAAGTTACCAAATTTCATGTTCTTTTAACTCTTAAGGTCAAAGTGCCACCTATACCTTAAGCACTTAAAAAAAAGTTACCACTGCAAAAGTTCTGTATTGTAAAATTTCAGAGGCAATCTGTTCTTAAATAAAAATATATCAGAAGTTTGAAATACAGTTGGGAAAACCATGAATGCAATGTCAAACTAATTACACACATTAGCAAAAAATGCCAGCTTTTCAAAGCTGCCTTTTTTTTTTCAAAGCTGCCTTTTTTTTTTTTTTGGTAAAAAACCCATGGGTACAGTGGCCTTATATCATTATCACAAAAGCCTGGGAAAAAACATCTGGCAGGAACAGGCTAGAAACAAGCCAGTAAAACTGTGTGGGTGACATAAGAAAGAACTGTTATTGAGAATCTTTTAAACATAAGAAATTACAGTTGGAAGAAATATTCTAAAGCTATTAATAAAAGCTAGATCTCGTAATGATTTAATACTAGCAAAAGCTAATAAGGAAATGGAATTTTCTATAGGATTAACAAGGAAAATTGAAGAAAAGTTACTGATCTCAAAGATGCGGAGGAACAGGTGTCACTGATATCCTTAAAAATTGGCGAAGACTGAGATTTCTTCGAAATCCATTCATGTGAGAAACCTGCTGCTGAAAGCTTGGATGCAAGGTGAGAATCATAAAAGCATGCTGAGAGTTGCTGCCAGTAGGAAATGACGGCTCTGATTGCTTCTAGAGATTCACTGGTCAAACATGGACACTGAAACCTCTGGAAAAAGAAAAGCAACCCACAAGCCATCCTTAAAGGCTGTTTTTTTCCTATCAGCCGGAGCTAACAGATGGGCCTTGCATCATTCCCCGAGCAGAGACAAAGACTGGCTTTGTCAGCACAAGGCTGCGTGGAAGCGAGAAGAATTCCAGAAGTGAGGGCTATCTGCTGAGAAAGGCCAGGCTCTTCCTGAGGACACCATGAGAAGCCAGAAAACATTCACAGAGGTGCAAAAGATGAGCAGAAATAGGACCCAAGATACAGGGAAACACATGGTTAGTTCAGGTAAGCAGTCATTGACCATCACAGGAAAGAGTCTGGACAACATGTGTGTGGCACATCTTAAATACACAGGATAAAGCTGAACAGAGAAAATAATGCTGACTATTGGGGGGAGGGAGGAGCTGCTTCCTCAGAGATGTGATTGAAATCTCACTGAGTGGTACATGTTAAACTGGACTAGACAAAATACTAATGAAAGACACTGGTAGGAACAATCTCAAACTGCCAGAGATCTACTAGATGATCTGCGAGGTATTTCTTAACTCCCCAGTCTATAATCTTCAATTATCTCGCCCAGGATGCAATGCTAATTGTAACTCTTCAGTCTGGCTTACTTTCAACCACAGCTTTAATCTGTTTTATGATTCTGAACCTCAAATTGATCAAGAAATTAAGAACTTCCATTATTTCAGTATCATCAGACAATGGTACTATATTCTCTCACAGTCATATTCAAATTTACACGCACTCCAGCGCTTTGCAGCACCATCATCACACGGCTCTCAAAGCAAACATGCAGCTCACTGCACTTGTTCGAAACCTGCCGCTGGCACGAGTTGCTTTCACGCACGTGCTAAAACCACTGCTACGCAACAAGACAGTCTGAAAACCAGATGCCATTTAGAAAACGAATCTCAGTCAAAACGACTGCCACAACAGCATCCTGGAGTTAAATTCAATGAGCCTAGCACAAATTATGTGAGCATAAAAAAACCCATGGTCAAAACGATTTCAATCAAAATTCTAGCTAGCGTATGCTCTGTATGTCAGCCTTGTTAAAACAACTCATACAGAAAGGTGACAATAGAACTTTACAATTACATATATTTAAGCCAGTGATTGATCAAAATGGTTTTTATAAAAATTATTAAAAATGAATGAACACTTCTCTGAATACTTAGATTT